TCTTGCTCATTTTGCTTCCGAGAAACATGCAAAACGGGACGGAAAACATGAAATTTTGCAGTAATCTTGCGCCACCCTTGCACAAAACGACGATCATTTTTCTAATTTCATAAACAACAGAAGACTGTATTTTTTCTACATAACCCCCCCACCATCCTGACTTTAAAGATGGATCCGCCCCTGTTTCATGCATAATTGTTTTATGTTGGTAGTCAAATTTCGTCACTGATGTCGTGAGACCAAAGTTATAGCGTACGACTCGACTGGACTCGACTCGACTCGATAACGTATGACTCAGCTTTTTTGTAGTTTTTCAATATTGGAACATCAACAGGCTTATGTGGGGCAAGTAATGAAACCGTTAATTTTTCGACATTAAAAGATGCACTTCTAATGCTCAAAAATTTTGAGACCCTATTAATGGTCAACGAACAGGTATTGTTTCACCTGCTCGATCTCAAACTCATTTCGACTAGTAGCTCATGTCCAAAAAATGTTTTGTTCGCTAAAAAAATATCGCTTCTGAGACAGTCCCACTCGCAAAACTTTCGAATGTTTGAATGGAAACAGCGGTTTTGAAACACTCTATACAGGGTGATTCAAAATTGGCGTCATTCCGTTGGAGGTGATGTCTGGGGGTGTTTTGGGAGTACAAGAAAAATAGTGAAAAAATTTAATTTATTAAAAATGCAGATATTTGCAAAAAACTTGATCAGAAGGATGGCAACAATGCGTTTCAAGGTAGTTTGCCTAATTAACTTGCCACCGAAATCCGAAATCAAATACAGATCAATATTATTGATCAAATAAAATACAATTAAGTTGTTAAATCACAAGAAGTGTTCCCTAAGACAAGAAGTTGCGTTTAACTTCAAACATGTTTGTGTCCCAATCACTTTTCGTGTACTTTTGCCAGCAGTCTGGGCTCATATTTTGAGCAGCTTTCGGTTAATTGACTGCTGCTCAATTTGTACCGGTGTTCGGAAGGTCAGATATTTAATGTGTTCTAGTGTCCTGTGTATCTTACATACATGGCTTGACAATTGTCATTATTGACAAAGGCTATCTACCTTTCACTATCTGTTAATGACAAAAAACATCATTGCCGCTTTGACTTTTTATAAAAAAATTGTAGGAGTACTTTTTTAATATAAAAATTTTTCATAATTTGAAACAAAGATCGTAATTTTTCTTTTCGAATCCTTCAGTATTGCAATAGGCTACCAATCAAACGTGAGACCTTTTCAAAATAATGCTTAATGGCAAAGTTGAAATTAGGTCTTCAACTGTTAATATCTTGTTGAAATTTTGGGGAAAAATGTTTTTCGATATTTTTCTCGTACTCTCTAAGTGAGCCCCTACATACCTAATAAATTACGCCAATTTTGAATCACCCTGTATTCATCATCCTGATCATACAGGGTGCTCAAAAAAACCTTGTGCTACGGTTCGCCACAGGAGTGAAAATGAATTGAACTTACCTGCGGGAACGTTCAGGTTTCGATCCTCGGAGTCTCTCGGATTCATTGGAAACAGCCTGGTGTGGTGGCGCTTCTGCACAACAAGGAATGTGATTTTTGGCTCATAATCTTGGCCCTGCATTTTCTTGCAAGCTGACCGAATCGCCATGATCTCTGCTCGTCTCACTTGCTCGAATTGTCCCTCGGAGACACCGTCTCTGAAGAAGATGATCGCTTCCGGTTTGTGGCGTGTCTTCTCATAAAAGAAGCGCAGATGTTCTTCGGTGATGCTTTCCAGGTCGGCAATGATTTCGACTTGGGGATTTTGCAGCCGCCAGCAAATGTTGTACTGGAACGCTTTCGGATCATGAGAAGCGGTCACAGCCGCAACACTTGGTATATGTAGGGCGTCCGGCCCGGGATGGGTCACGTCCGCGCCCATAATCATCACCGGCCTCCTCATAATCGGTGGCGTAATAGAAATGGAGTGATTCACACCATTCATCTTGCTGTTGACCTTTAGAAGAATGTTAGCGGTGGTTTGGGGATTCAATCGTTTGCTAACGGTTCCGATTTTGATGCACTGAGTTAGACAACCCACGGCAATTTCGGCCGCTTTTTTCACATAGGAATACTGCGGACCATTGTCCGGTACAATCACGAAAACCACATCGTATTTGCCCTTAATCGATTTGAACAATTGCAACGCGTCCATGTAGGTCTGACGACCCTGCACATTGACGAAAGGCATAGTAGCTTTGGAGGCGAACACCATTCCCACGTCTCTGGCTGAACTCTCAAACTGAAATCGAAATAAATCAATAAGGGGGTGATCTACGTGATCCACGTATAATTGACTTACCATCGAAACCATTCTGCTGTACTCATCGGGTTTTGGCGGGTAACGGTTAGCACAAACGAACGTCCAGCTATTGATCGTTGCGGGATTTAAGAACGTGTTGGATCGCCACACGCCCTTGCTCACTTTGCACACACTCGACTTGTATTTCAGTTCGGGTGGTTGCAACACTCTAGCGTCCAATTGTAGGAATTGGTCGCCAACAGAAAAGCCAAATTCTTTTACAGTTGGCGACTGATTGAAATTAGAGCGCTTGATTCCATCCATAATTTTGCTTTTGCGAAGTGTCGTATTAGTGGCCGACTGTCTGCAATGGAACAATAAGAAAAACATCAATTTCAAATCTTATTCAAGTTATTTATTATTACTTACTTGATCATATTTCGGGTTTGTTCCTCCGTCATTTTCCTCTGTACAGCTTGACCTTCGATGATCGTACATAGTTCGATGGGCAGTAGAATTTTGTCGGCTCTTTGGGGATTGCCAACCCACAGAGTGGGATACTGTGGGTACTTCAACCGGTAGTTCTTCGTTTTGAGAAAATATTCCTCAACACTCATTTGTACATTATTAAATTTAAAGACGCTATTGCGTGAGGACCCTTCCAATCCGTTCACTTTGTAATTTTTACGGGAAGAGGGCGCATTCGGTATCATGCACGAGACTCTCAAACTCTTTACGAATTTGGTTAAGGTTTCTTGCTGCATGCGATCCAATCGACTTAGGTTTTCGGGCACGAATTTGTATCGGAACGTCGATAGAACTTCGACGAATGAATCGATCACATTGAGGCTCTTGGGAAAAGCTTTGTGGGCCACGTCCACGTTCAAGAATGGCTTCCAACCTCTAATTGCTGATTGAAAGAAGCCATGATACATTTCCATGCCTGGAAAATATGCAGTAGAATTAGCGCATTCGAGAAATGAATAATTAATTATTTCTAAATTTAGCATAAACTGTAGCTTACCCTCGCCCAGTTCGATAATGGTATTAGTCGGTTTCACGAAGAAAGATTTACCGACCGGAATGCACGTTTGGACCGGTGCCATTCTCAACACAATGTCAACCACTTGGATAGCCTCTTGCGGCGTAACTGGTTGAGTAAGAAAATTGCGCAGCGGCCTCATGTCGACTTTGTTCGCAAATTTCACCTCCACTTTGAAAACCTTTGCACGATCATCGTCCTCATTAATTGTAATATCTGACTCGATGATATCGTTCAGGTTATTTGTGAGCGGACTTGCTGTATACCAATTCTTTTTGCCATCATACGCTGGGTATCTGTATCGAAATCAAAGCTTTCAATGTATAAGCCGTTTAAGCGCAATATCGGTTACCTGTTGGGAAACAACTTCCGCCTAAAAATCTCCATTATTGGCCGCATAAACATTTTTGGTTTATCCGGCTTAATTGCTACATCGTAATGGTATGCAGTCTCAAGTTTTCCTAAATTCAGTTGTAAGTGGTTGCTTTCCACTTTAATAACACGTCCTTGGGTTCCGGGCAATCTTCTTTGTTTTGACACTAATTCTTCATCGCCTTTATTGACTCGGGTTAGCTGCATTCCAGCCATTTCCGACCTCAATGCTGATGCTTGAACTCCTCCTGGGCCTATTTGAAAAAATCCACTGGTTTACGCATACGAAATACGTAAATTATTTAGATGAGCATACCTTGTTGCTGTTGGGTCCTTTGAGGCTGCTGTTGGGCTCTACCTGTAATAAAACATGTAGCTCAATTAAATTAATTGATTAAACAAGTTTGCAAAATGGATCTTCATCTCTTCATATCCAAACACAAACCTTGTTCTTGTGGTTGCTGATGTTGCTGCTTTGGAGGACCACCTTTAAGAGAAACTCCAGATAAACACATTGCATGAAAAAATGTAAAACTACTATTGTATACCTTGTTGCTGTCCCCCGGTTCCCCTTTGGGGAGGCTGTTGAGTTGGTTGCATTGGAGAGCCACCTGAAGGGAAACACCATGTAAATAAATCGGAAACACATTCACCTGTAAAGATAGCAAAGAACTTGTGAAACTATAAGTCATACTTTGTTGCTGTCCCCCAGGCTGTTGAACTTGTTGCAGTGCAGGGCCGCCTTAAAAAAAAACACCATGCAATTAAATGAGAACAACATACACTTGTAAAATTAAGAAAAACGTGCGAAACTACATAAACTATACCTTGCTGCTGTCCCGCGGCTGGTCCTCTTTGGGGAGGCTGTTGAACTTGTTGCATTGGAGGGCCACCTTGAAAAACACGCCATGCAATTAAATAAGAAAATCATGCACTTGCGAAGTTAGGAAAAACGTGCAAATCTACAAAACTATACCTTGTTGCTGTCCCACGGCTGGTCCTCTTTGAGGAGGCTGTTGAACTTGTTGCATTTGAGGGCCACCTTGAAAAACGCCATGCAATTAAATCCGAAAAACATGCACTTGCGAAGTTAGGAAAAACGTGCGAAACTACAAAACTATACCTTGTTGCTGTCCCGCTGCTGGTCCGCTTTGAGGAGGCTGTTGAAGTTGTTGCATTGGAGGGCCGCCTTAAGAAATAAATTTTTATTGCATATAATTTCCTGACTGTGTTTCAATTCCAAATCAAATTCATTCCTGGGTTTCAGTCATTTATTGTCTCTATTTATCAATCAAAATACGTTTCGGTGTATTTTTCCACCATCACCAGTTTTTATATCTAGCGTTGTTGCTGCTTTAAGCCTTGGCATGCATTTTTACATGCAAAATTTTTTTGCATGAAAAAATGAAACGTATTTTGATTGATAAATAGAGACAATAAATGACTGAAACCCAGGAATGAATTTGATTTGGAATTAAATGTTATGTAAATAAATCGGAGACGCTCATTTAGTAAGTTTGCAGAAAATATATATTTTTGAATAGCCATACCTTGCCTCTGTCCCCAAGCCATTCCTCCGGGAGGCTGTTGAACTTGTTGCATTTGAGGGCCACCTTAAGAAAAACGCCATACAATTAAATCGGAAAAGCATGCACTTGTAAAGTTAGAAAAAATGTGCGAAATTTCAAAATCATACCTTGTTGTTGTCCCGCGTACGGTCCTCTTTGAGGAGTTTGCTGAGCTAGTTGCACTGGAGGATGACCTGAAGGAAACCAAACACACATTCATTATAATAAAAGGTGAAAAACCCTACCGATACCAACCTCTTCCTGGTGCTTGTCCCCGTTGAGGTGGCTGCTGACCCTGCAGCACTGGGGGCATACCTTCACATAAAACTAATGTAAGTAACAGTTATGCTCAAATGGAAATTGCTAAAATTACAAACCTTTTGCAAATCCTCGTCCTGTTGGTGATGGTTGTTGCATTGGAAAACCACCTGCAAAGCGAAATTGCTCTTAAGTGCACTAAAAACCAGAACTTTTGAAATCCAATACCTAAGATCTGGAACGCAGCACTCTTTATTCAAGCAAAAACTAGACATATAAACTAAAGATTTCAAATTACAAATCCTGAAACTATAAAACTATACCTTGTTGCTGTCCCGCTGCTGGTCCTCTTTGAGGAGGCTGTTGAGCTGGTTGCATTGGAGGGCCGCCTTAAGAAACAAAATTTTATGTAAATAAATCGGATACGCTCATTTATTAAGTTTCCAAAAAAATATATTTTTGAAACCATAGACGCATACCTTGCCTCTGTCCCCAAGCTAATCCTCCGGGAGGCTGTTGAACTTGTTGCATTTGAGGGACACCTTAAGAAAAACGCCATACAATTAAATCGGAGAAACATGCACTTATAAAGTTAGGAAAAATGTGCGAAATTCCAAAATCATACCTTGTTGCTGTCCCGCGTACGGTTCTCTTTGAGGAGTTTGCTGAGCTAGTTGCACTGGAGGATGACCTGAAGGAAATCAAACACACATTCATTATAATAAAAGGTGAAAAACCTTACCGATACCAACCTCTTCCTGGTGCTGGTCCCCATTGAGGTGGCTGCTGACCCTGCAGCCCTGGGGGCATACCTTCACATAAAACTAATGTAAGTAACAGTTATGCTCAAATGGAAATTGCTAAAATTACAAACCTTTTACAAATCCTCGTCCTGTTGGTGATGGTTGTTGCATTGGAAAACCACCTGCAAAGCGAAATTGCTGTTAAGTGCACTAACAACCAGAACTTTTGAAATCCAATCCCTAAGATCTGAAACGCAGCACTCTTTATTCAAGCAAAAACTAGACATTTGAACTAAAGATTTCAAATTACAAATCCTGAATATGAAAATTGTTTTGGAGACATTTTTGAATCAATTTAACTAATAATGGAACTAATTCGACTTTATTCTCTTACCTCGACCGGGTTGAGCTTGAACTGGCGGAGGCTGCTGTTGTTGAGGCGGACCTGGCTGCTGCAAAACGAAAAATCAGTATAAATAGATGTCTTTTTTTCTCAGTTGTTTACGCATTTACATACCTGTGGAGCTCTTTGAGCTTCAGCTGGTTGCTGCCGGCCTCTACCCTTTCCGGCGCTACAAGACAAAATACATTAAAATTAAACCCAAAGTCAATTATCGATGCAAGTGAAACGTTTGCTATAAATCGTTCAGTTAATACACAAAGAATGGTATATTTACCCTGCTTGTTGTGGTGGAACATCGCCCTGGTCCCGTTGTGGGGGATCTGAAAAACCTATATTTACTTGCTTTTCCTTGATTTCGTTAGAATCGAATACTTTTGAAAATCAGATATTGAGTTTATTGTGTTTTATATTTCTGAGTGAATTTATTAAATGACTGATGATTAGGCAAACAGTAACCAATGACACAAATTTCAAGTTATGGTAAAAATGTCTCACCTCTGACTCCCGATGAAGGCCCTGGCTGGTCACCACCCCCAGTTTGTTTATTTTCGTTCTTCTTTCCACCTAATTCAGAATAACTGGTGTTAAAAAAAGAACGAATCGTTCATATATAGTGTGTCGAGGAGAAATGTTAATAAGCAATGCATGTACATGAGGAGCTAATAAAGTTTTGTCCATCACGTACATTAAAAAATGAACATAGTTTGAGAAACTTGTCTTAGGAATATCGGCGCTTATTTATGTTACTCAGATGAAGTATGGGGGCATTAAAACGGCATGGTCTGTTTAGGCTCTCCTGCTTACAGATTTGGCTAAACTTGGATAACTTTGCCGCTCATTGAGAATCGTCGAAGTATTTAGCATTCTGTTCAGGACTCGGACTACGAAAAACTAATTTTTCTGCGTTTGATTTTTCATTTTTTATTTTTAATGTCTAGCATTTGGGCAAAAATTGCCAACCTTACAATAGATGCAAGCAGGAATTGAGGAATTAATGTTCCCGACACAACTAAGAAACATGCAGATTGCGAGCTTCCAAATGCAGTTTTAAAACGACGGAACCTCGCAAACCCGCTGAAACTACAGAAGAAGTGAAGACAGCGCCGATTGTGAGATGAAAAAGTGTGTGTACCTGTTCCGTGCTAATATTTCGATGTATTTTGGCCGAAAACGCAAATTTTATGATTTTTGATATAATGTTATCAAAATATTTTCGGAAAAAAGCGAATACCCAAAACAACAACCTTTAGGGGGACAAAAAATTATTTCGATGTTTCGTGCGCGTCATTAATTTTACCGTGGGTTCGGTTAAGATAATGTTACTTCGCGCATTGGTGGTCGAACCGGAAAATTTTGATATTTCGAACGCTATTTAAAGGCGAATTAAATTATTATCTAACTGTAAAAGAAAAAATCACAATATTTTTCATCATCGACAATTTTTTTAAGATTATACGCTGCAAAACGATTTTGGGCACTACCACTTACACGAACACCCTGCATAGCCCTTAAAATTTTGTGAAGCGTGTGTTGGGTGTTTCTCAAGCACTTACCTTTCTTTTTCCCCATCTTTCACTTTGTAACTATAACAAAGAAGAACAGTTAATATTAGTAGTAGCAGCTTATCGATTTTAATATAAGAATTAATAAATAGTCCAAAGAAATATACAGTGCGAGATCGCCAAAAATGCACTGACGGTTAGTTCATGAGCCGTAAACGGTACGGTAATAATCGGTACCTTTTGACATGCAGGGACAAGAGTTTGTGGTAATTTATTGATTGCTAACATATAGGGTGTCCCATAAGGAGATGGTCAAAATGGCACTGCGGCTTTACTTTTTTATATAAAAATTCTACAAAACAATTATGTGTTTGTGCTGGAATCACTTCTATTGTTTTGAGTGGATGCATTAATCACTGTTCGAGATATTTGTCGCAGTTCTATTTTGATCGGGTGCTTAGTTATATTATATTTTAGAAATATCAACATTTTGCACATACATACATTTTGTGAACAGAAAGACAAAAATGTAATAACAACTTTTCGAGTGTTTATGGGGAAGCGCGTTTTTTTTGTAGTTTTTTACTTCTTTTCCATAAGAAACAAAGGAAACCATGACGGTCACACATAAGTTGTAAGTATTTGAATTAGTTTCGTTTAGAATTATAATGGGCTTTTTAAAGAACGATAAGGAAACGTTTCACCCGAAACTGGAATTAGGAACCAGGTTCTAAATATTGACTGTCGTAAGCAAACACTTCTAGAACCGGTTTCGGACCTTTAGACATATTATCCTTCGTCAGCTTGGCTTGCAAATGTCACATAAATTGAAAATTGAGTAGAAATACAAAAACCGCTGTGAATTCCCGAAAGATCCAATGACCGGAATGACACAGAAAACACGTCTTTGCCATCATTAGCGTAAACTCGTCATTGTTTTTACTTAGCTTTAATCCATTCAAATACAAAACGGATTAAACCAAATCACATATATTGCCAGGACCGCATTAAACAAACAATTTATAATGTTGTAGTACAATTATTGAAGAACTGTTTCTAGAGACGGAACCACACGGCATTTTTTTGTCCCGAGTAAAACACAATTATTATGCATCTTAGCGACAATTTTGCACGTGGAGTTATGAATTGTTGATACCTAAAGCACGATTTAGCAGCAAATATCACCGGACAATCCCATTTTCGTAAATAAATAAGTGGTTTTGGAAAAGCGAAGAAGTTCGTAAGTGTTTTTTGATTTATTTAAGGACCATCCAGGATTTTTTTCGGTGAGTGCTTAATTTGAAGCGCTCTCGAAAAAAAAACTAAAAATTCGGGGGACTCGAACGACACGATTGCCTTAATTGCGAAAGTGATAGTCCTGGAAGCGCCACGTTTTGCATAGAATATCCCTTTCTGGGCTAATTTTTGGACGATCCGCATTTTTTCCACTGAATCTGCGGTATTTTATGGGGGCTTCAAAAAGAAAAACTCGGCGATAACATGAACATGGATCACCCTAATCTCTTTTTTTTAAGGTTTATAGTAACAAAATGAGCAGTAGTTCTTCTACACTGCACTTCATTATCGCTCCGCACCTACGCAGTACTGAAAATCTCATAAAATTTGAAATAAATTTGTTACAAATTCCTGAATTGTGGTTTGATGGAGCCCTAAAGCATTTAGTAATAACAACGAGCAGTTTGTGCTATCAGACGACAAAGATTTGGTTTATCTGGTGCATTTCAGAACTTTGATATTTAGGGTATTCACAGAGGATAATTATGACATATGTAGAAACATTGAGCAATATTTCCTCTTCTGCCTGATTAACAATTATCGAAAACAATCAAAGTAGAGAATAATGGCTTACGATCTTACTGGACGGTACAAGGCGATTTTTTATGGGCACCACCTACTAAAGTGATGTGAATAAATAAACACACTGATTTCCGCGTTTCGTACTAGAACGAATGACTTACCTATGCGAAATGAAGAAGTAGATAGACAAGTAGACTGACACGGCATAAGCAGTGAGGGCAACACAAACTGCAAGAGCAGCATGGCCAACCGAAAGTGTCTAAAATGTCACTGTAATGCAGTGATTTTTTATTGTTATTTAAAATCACGGTTTTTAATTCAATTCTAAAATGCATCTACAGACATCATTGTAGTTACATATATCATGTACTTGTAATTTAATTTGTATTAAAATTTCAATTTTATTAGTGGCATCACAAATCACATTTGCCGTGGTAAATAATAGTATATATATATAATACTTATTGCACATCTCACAACTTTTTTTAACTCTTACTGCTGTTAGTCTACAAAATAAATTATTTTTTATAACTTTTCAAGTTTTCACTGTAGAGCATTTTGTAATTATTTTGAAGATTTATAAAAAAATATGGAATTATAATGGATATATGGAATAAATAAGCTATAATTATACAAGGTGTCCCGTAAGCACATGATTAAAAGGGTACTGCGATATTATTTGGATCAAAAGAAGACGATCTGACCAATTATTAACAAAAAATGTCTGGCTTTTCTGCTATTGATGGTCAACTTTCTTCAAATAAAATATTTTTTGAAACATCGAGAGAATGGTACGATATATTTTGGTGAAACTCGCTGTGAATTTGTTCTTATGTAAGGCTCATATTTTGATGAAACAATCGAGTTCAGCGGTTTTGGACAAGTGGTGAATTCTTGAGTGTCGTGGCACAAAACTACCAGAACTTTTTATTTAGCGGATGGAATCAACTATTTTTTTTGGGTTGATGCACTAATCATTTGTTCACAATTTTGTGCTCTTTGTAAAGTCTTGTAGCATTCTGTAAAATCTGTTTTCTTGCCACTTAACAATGTTAGTCATTAACGGCAAATATGCGCCGCATAAACGCGTACGCTTTCACGCAAGTTGTCTTCGCAAAACCCTAATACTTTGACCATGTCGGTCACGTCTTCAGTAGAAAAGGTCATTCGAAAAGAATTTGTGAGATTGGTTGATAATTAATTTATGCCTCGTATCACGATATTTGCAGTTAATGTCTAACATCGTTAAGTGTCAATAAAACAGAAATACATTTTTTGCAAAAACTGTGATGCTACAAGATTTTACAAAGAGCACAAAATAGTGAATAAATGATTAGTGCATCAACCAAAAAAAATGAGTTGATTTCATCTACCAAATAAAAAGTTCTGATAGTTTTTGTACCGCGACACTCAAGAATTCACCACTTGTCCAAAACCGCTGAACTCGATTGTTACATTAAACTATGAATCTTACATATGAACAAATTCATAGCGAGTTTCACCAAAATACATCATACCATTCTCCGAATATTTTAAAAAATATTTTTTTATCAAAGAATTCAAAGTTTTTGCGAAAAAAAATATTTCTGTTTCCTTGCCACTTAACAATGATAGACATTAACTGCAAATATCGTGATACGAGGCATAAAATCATTGTCAATCAATCTCACAAATTCGTTTCAAATGACCTTTTCTAATGAAGAAGTGACCGACATCGTCAAAGTTTTAGGGTTTCGCAAAGACAACTTGCGTGAAAGCGTACGCGTTTAAGCTGCGCATATTGCCGTTAATGTCTAACATTGTTAAATGGCAAGAAAACAGAAATATTTTTTTTGCAAAACCTATGGTGCTACAAAATTTTACAAAGAGCAGAAAATTGTGAATAAATGATTAGTGAATCAACCCAAAAAAATTAGTTGATTTCATCTACCAAATAAAAAATTCTGGTAGTTTCTGTACCACGACCTTCAAGAATTCGCCAGTTGTCCAAAACGGATAAACTCGATTGTTTCATCAAAATCTGAGTCTTATATACGAAAAAAATCACAGCGAGTTTCACTAAAATACATCGTATCATTCTCTCGATATTTCATAAAAGATAATTTTTTTGAAGAACTGACCATCAATAGCAGATGAGCCAGACATTTTTTGATAATAAAAGTTAGGTCAGATCGTCTTCTTTTGATCCAAAGAATATCGCAGTATCCTTTTGATCATGTGCTCACGGGACACCCTGTATAGATCAAACAGGAAAATAGCACCACAACCGCTTGACACGCCCTGTTGTGATGGGAAATGCAAATGATGTTAGTAGTGGCAAAAAAGCAGCGAGTACCACATGACGTCACGCAAATCGGCGCAATATCCTTCCTTGTATCTGCCTAGTAGTGCCTTGTATTAATTTTAACATGTGTTTGTGGTTACGGTCCTGTTCACTGTTGTCAGTCCCGCGAAGTTTAACCTTTAACCCGAACTGACGTTGACTCGCGAGATCGGCGATTCCTAAAGGATTTTGCAAGGTCGCAATTGTTCAGAACTAATCACTAATCAGTGTATTGTCGCAGGGCAAACGCAACTATGCTTTGATCGTTGTTGTTTTCCACAAAGTCGTGCTTAAATCAGTCAATTTTACTGTTTATTTGCGTGCAATAGTAGGTCCGTTCGCCTCAAAATGCGGCTTACCGCTCGTTTCCACACCATTTCCAAAATGTTGGACTTTTATTCCCAGTTCAATCCATCACCGTTGTCTATTAAAAAGTTTATTGATTTTGGTAAGTATGTGTTGGTGTGTTCAGTGTGGACATTGTCCTACACGCAAATTGACTGTCCATGTACACGAAAGCAGTGGCTTTATGATTCTATGACTGATTTTACGCAGAAATGGTTCCGGTCACTGTTTACGAATTTGCAACCCTTCAGGAAATATTGCTGGTTGAAGGCGCCAGTGCGATTAGGGGGCTTTGAAAGAAATCAAATCGTTAATTGTCATAATTGACAGTGACTATTAATCAATCGTTGGAAAACGTCAAATGGCTCGTAGGTATAGATTTCGAGATGTGTTAATCTCAGGCACCCTGGACCTTTTCGCGCTTGTCAGCTCCTATTTCGTCCTTTTTCCAGTACAGGGTGATCCAACCTTGAGGCCCAAGGTCTAATGTGGCAAAACGTTTTTTCTTTTGGTTTGCACGGCGGCTGGAGGAATAAAAATCTTCGCGAAGACACCCAGTGTTCCGAACCCTGGGTAGTGTTGGATTCTTACCAATTAAAAAACCCCCTTTTTTGTACCACGAGTTTTCGGGAGTTATCCTTTAAAACTTGCAGTCCTCTCTAAGAATTTGTCAGCTCCGGCATCCGTATGCCATAGCATCGCATTCTCTCTATGCTAGCTGCTTGCTAGCATGGGCATCTTATTAATTTACACCTTACTTCTATGTGCATGCTAATTGCTACGACAGATTACAGAGTACCGCTGTGATCTGTGATTAGTACTAACTCTACATAACCACACTTACAGCTTACGCCGTTTGCTACCTGTTGCCCTATTGGGCTAGTTGGTGTCTGGGCCTTTTTTTCCTGGGTCCCAGATCTTCAGG